TGTAGATACATGCAAAAACCTTGTAACTCACTTTTAAATATAAAAACAATTACTTTACTGTATTTCAACAATGACATTAAAATTGTATAAATATTCCAGTTTTAAAAAGAAAGGACGGTGTCACAGCACTAAATTTGTTCTGACAGGAAAGTTTTTTCGCTCTCCTGAAAATTCATGATTTTTGAGATACGAGGTTTTGTCACCCCACCGACGATATACTGTTGTTGCATAAATGAAAACTGATTACATAAATTTCATGAGCATGATACCATTATTCAGCTCAATAGTTTTAGAATTTGGGAACGAATGACCATTATCTGCCCATGCGCGAATCCTAATTACGAACTCGCTTATTAGGATGCTGACTCGTATTGTTTTAGAGTAAACGCTCATCAGGCTCTCAACAGACGTAAAGACCTTGATTTGATGTGGGACATTGATGACTATCAAGCTTGTGTGTAAACACATATATGTACCTACATGAAATTCCTTTCTACTGGCTAATTCCAGTATAATTTATTTCATAGCAAACGAAACAAAATTATTTTCTCAAAGGAAAAAAAAAGGGCAACCTTTTGAGAAACTACACGTGCATAGACAAAAAAGTGCAAGGGTTTTAGTCCGGTATTTCAGGCCAAAAATTAAAGGATTTAAATCTGGTCTCTTTGCTATTTTTTTCATAAATACATGTTTAAATGCAACCCCAGATCTACAACAAAAGATTTTCAAGGCAAATTTCTTGGAAAGTGGAAAAATGCCAATTTTGACAGAACCTGTCAGTTCAGCAGTTTTTTGGCAGAAAATATTAAGTAGCCTAAAACTGAAATTTTCTGTCTGGCTTTTATACTTTCGTGTTTGTTATAAAACGCAGAAACGGCCAGCCCACGTATTTTTTGTTATTATTAATAAATTAACGGTCACCGTATTTTTTTGAAAGTGGAGCTGAATTGGTAGGATCCTATTGGCTAAATTTCACACATTTTGGGGTCTAAAATTACCTTCATAGCAATTTTAGGTTCAACAAGGGCACTAGAAATGTCATAAATAAGAATAACAGCAATAACCTCTGAAGGCGTTTGCGGTCTGAAACAACTATCTCTTTAAATGTGACCCCAGATAGTCTAAAAAGGGAATCTTGATGGATTAATTTCATGAATAGTAGAAACACGCAAATCTTTGACAAAAGCTGCAAGGGGTTTAAAGGTAAAGACCAGTTCTGGTCGTGCGATTTCATTATGAAAGAAACGTTGTGGAATCGATCTGAAAAGGTTGATCATTTTGCATATAAGTATTGGTGTGTACTGCAAGGTTCTGGATGATAAAAAATTTGGCCCAGTCTTGGTAAAGTTACATGTACACAGAAAGATGTATATGGGACTACGCGACACGTGCGCGATATCTATTCGGTCCGGATAGATATAATAATTTACCAAATATATCAATTAGTAGGCGGTTTCCCGGCAAAATTTGTATCATCACGTGTTAGTCAAAACATATTCTTTCACATGATTGGTAATAAGAGCTTCCATTTCATTTTTTTGAGAGGGGGCGTTTCCAAAACTGGTCTATACTTTTAAGCAGAGCTGCCAACCTTGTGCGACCAAAAAAAGGAATCATGATGGCAAAAAAAAGGAATTTCAAGCAAAAAAAAGGAATTCATAAAAACAAAACTTACAACCATGCGCGACACACTTCCAATGCAGAAATGTTCATTCATCATGCTGTTTTTTCCATACAAGCATGAATTTTTTAGGGTGGTTATTTTGGTATAATCGGCATTTCATTCTTTTTGAGAATATTTTTCTTTTCAAGTATGCTTTAAATTTACTTTTCTATTGAATTTGTGATCAAATCACCATTTTAGGGCAGTTGTTTGACTTGCGGTATGTAAAAAAAAAAAAAAAAAAAAAAAAAAAAAAAATTTATTTAACAAACGTATTTTATGAAGAAAAAACGTAATACCGTAATTTGGAGGAAAAAAACGGAGTAATTCCGGCAAAAACGGAATGGTTGGCAGCTCTGTTTAAGCATTTTATGTCGAAAATGACCCTAAATCAGAAATATTTGATTTGGCTTATTATAATGTTTTATCATCAAAACACAATTAAATGTTACCCCAGCATATGGAGCATAAGTCAGGGCTTCATATTGGTCACACAATAGCTAGGAAACAGATTGAATTTTCATATACAATGACGGGAATGATTATTTGCTTATAATGTTGTTCATGCTAGAAATGCATTGATTAAAATGTAGCAGACACTATACAAAGCACACACACACGTAAAACAACAACAACAATAACAACAAAAAGGAACAGTATTATTACTTTGATATGTCGGGTTATCTTTCAAGAGCAGATAATTCATTAAAACTCGATACCACTTTGCTTCAAACTGTCCTGCAAAATCTTCTTCAAATACTATCTATTGGAATCATAAATACACATACCTCAGTCACAATGCGATATACATGGTGGGCAGGGAGCTTTACTGGAACATGTACAAATACATGCAACATAGTCAAACCAAACATATCTTTGGATATCTATCAAATAATAAATAATATGTCTTGATTCAATAGACCAGTTCACAGTTAGCACCTTACTGCAATAACCCCGAATATCCGCAGATCTTCAAAATATGAAGAGGTCCCACTTGGTACATTTTGAAATAATCACTCCTACAGCAATGGAGGTGCTATATGAATAGCCTTTGTTTCCCCTTTACAAAGGATACTTTCACCTGTGTATCATGGAGTGCACTGAATGTGCATGAATGAATAATGATTACATAACTTTCATGAGCACGTATCCAGTATTTCATCTCAGTGTATTTCAAAATTTGTTCTGCAACGACCTTTATCTGCTCATGCTTAGACTGCAACCGTGAACTGGCTTACCGTAATTAACGGTGTATTAACCGCACCTTTTTGCCGCCGAAAAAAATTCAAAGTCAGGGGTGCGGTTTATACATGGTACACCCCCCCCCCCCCAAAAAAAAATAATAATAATTAAAGTTTCGATTTATGCCCCTCCACCTGGCGCTATGCCTGGCAATGTCTCCCAGCTCGGTAATCGGTGTGTTGACTCACCACTCGGAAACTAGAACACTCACATTTGTCTGGGTCATCTTGGTTTGAAAGTAATCTTTCAGATAGATTTCAATATGTAGTTGTTAAAAATAATTCCTCCAATTTTTCTTCTATTACACGGCGTACCACAAGGTTCTATCCTAGGTCCTCTACTGTTTTTTAAGTCGGCAAAAGAAAAGTCGGCAAAAAAAAATGTCGCAAAAAACAATTTTTTTTTTTTTTTTTTTAGGGCGAAAAAGAGGGGTGCGGTTAATACACGAGGCGGTTTATACAACGTTAATTACGGTATTCAATTCAGTTTATTATTCAGTTCATTACCCAGGGTAGCCACACCATTATCAATACTGTTCTTCCTGAGGGTCCTGCAATCATATCATTACCCAAGCTTTAGCCCAGTTACCATGATAAAGTGCTCAAGCACTCGAGGAATTTCTTCTCACCGGGTACCAATTTACATCACCTGGGTGGAGAGAGGCAAATGTAGATTGATGTTTTGCCAAAGGCCACATTAGTCCTGCGGTGGGACTTGAATCATGAACCATGTAATCCACAGTCCGTTGACATAACCCCTGGACCATGACACATCTAATCTACCTCTGACTAGGTTTAACAAATTGGAATATGGTGATCATAGACTTGCAGGTGATGCAGCGCCGACAAAAATCTATAAAAGTTGACAAGAGTTAAGAAATAACTGAATGTCAATTATACACACAGAGCTTACATAGCCATCATGCAATTTGCTGTTCTAGAGAAAATCAAGTCAAGCTTTCTTGCAATGCGTGTACGTGACTATTAAAAGCTGAAGAAATGAAAGCTAATTGCTAAGATTTCTTTCATTAATATACAACCAGTAAAGCATATTTCAATGTAAAGTGCTTTAATATGACTATAACTTGGCAGTATTTCATCAATAATAACAATGATCACATACATTATTTCAGTTTACACTTGAAGTAAAAAAGATTCTGAAATCTGAAATATTCACCCTTTAATCAATTATATACATTTGTATCTTTTTCCTTGACTTGTGATTTGTGTGGCAATACCACTCTCTGTATTAAACACAAGTCATAACTGCAAAATATGCCTTACCCATCCAATGGGTTTTAAGCATATCTGTCCAGTTTTGTCTAATTTTTCCAGTACTGTCTGTATCAATAAGTTATCTTACACTTTCAAAATTAAGTTTTATCATTCCATCTTGCACACTTCAATTTGGAAGTCATTTCAAATACTTTCTGAGACATTATATTAGAGTTATCTGGCACTTGCTTGCCTGGTGTACCTTATAAATTCTAAAAATCAAATAACAGAAAACAAAACAAAACAAAACAAACATCCCAATGAACCAGAACAAGGACATGAAAATAAAGGAAACCAATAGGTGTTGTTTTGAGCTCTTGCAAAAAAAGTTGCAATTATACTCCAAATAATATTATATTTTGTATGTGTATAGTTTATATCACGTTCCTATGCACTTACAAAGGACTTTTGATATTATTAACCCGGCTTTATAAAGTCATAAATAATAATATATATTTATGATAAAATCTTTTGAGCGGGCTTCATTAGAATAAATCACTGACTCATTGAGTTATGAAATAGGGAGTACATTTTTTGCACATGATCTTTTCAAATTAATCTTTTAATTTCATAAAACTTATGCATATTTCACGGTTGAGCAAAATTGCACATGTAACTACCTTGCAATTACTTAAAAGGTAATACAAAGTTTTGGTAATATTTCAACAGGATTGGATTATGCAATTTAAAATTTGCATACCATTGTGAAACCTAGTGTTAGAATAAAAAAAATAAAAAAATTGGGCTCTAAAGGATTTTGAAAAATTGAAATATAACATTCAATGGTAGCTTTGACCATGAAAATCTCACAATGTTCAGTTCTGATTTATAATTTCCAAACGGAATAGAAAATCTGTCATTTTAATCAAGAAACATTTTGCCGCGTCATATCTGAACATGGATTAAAGGCTTAAGTCTTTAAATAGGTACAAATAGCAAGATGTGACAATATGAGTACTAGTCTACTTGAATAATTTAAAGTACAAACTTCCCGAGAGAAATGGAAACACACTACAAACAAAAATACACTTGATATACATTTTATAACACTAAAAATACACAGCTTTCCAACCGCACCTCGTAAACACACAGTGTTTGCCAAATGCTATAGTATACATAACACTACTAAATGTTTTGATGTTGGTTTTTAGGTGCGAGATTGCATTGTACAGTCCTAGATAAGCAGTGACACATTCGAGCAGGGAGTTGACACGACAGATTCACCAATTTCTCTCTCTTTCGGTGGTTGCTCTAAAAGCACCAAGAACTGAGGTATCAGAGGTACACTATTTCCACGGTGACCGCTGCACTAATGAGGGGATTACCCCCAACGAATCCATTTGCAAGTGGCTCGATGGAACTGTAAATCCAAGGGCCGCATTGCAGCGGTGCGTGACTTTAAACAGAGCCTGATTTACAAATCATGGGGAGCTTTCCCCCTTCGGTCCATAGACTAGCCCATCGACGGAGCCCCTAGACGTTCTGTGGCCCCCGGGCCTTCTGCGGGCCGCCTGCAGCCGGCTTGGGGAGGCTGTAGAGATAGATGGCGACAGTCACAAGAACCGATCCGCCCATGAACAGATAGCCAAACGACTTTCCGAAGAACAGAAACGATCCTAGAGCTGCCATGACGATAGATACAGCGGTGGAGAAACCCTTGATGATGTTGTCCAGGTACTTGACTACAATGGAGGTGTATAGGCCTCCTATACTCGCCATTCCTGTAAGCACATACAACAAATACACCAGTGTTATACAATGATGATAATAAAATTTAAATTAACAATGAATTTCATTTAACATAAAATCATCGACAAGTGCATTAGCCATAATTTGTTTACTACATTCCTTTCCATCTGATGAACAGAGAAAATACATAAAAAGATGCTCTGTAAAATAAAATACATTGGCATGCATGTTAACATACTTGCATGTGGTTTGGATTTGCATGCCGCGAAATGAATGAATGATGCCACACTGAATTTTTGCAGTTCAATAAGTCTATTGCTGTGAAAATTGTGAAGATTGCTGGCATTTTCCAATGGCGAAAGATTCAGTTTACAGTACTACAACACTGTATTTTGTCTGTTACCATAGAGTTAATGCCCTTTCCGCCCTGAACAGACGATTTGCTTACCTATAATCACAAAAACGTATACGTCATAGCCATAGAGGAATCCATGCGTCATGACGTTGTTATAATCTTTGGTGAATACTGCTACAAGACCACTCAGGATCCCAAATAGGTACATCTGAACATTCCGTATCCATAACGTCGTTTCTGTTCCTTTCAGAACTTTTTCAAAATATACACCTGTAAAAGAGAGAAAGGAATGTTAAGGTACCTGTAGAATTCTTAAAAGCATAACAGAATATTAGGAATATATCAGTCATATCCAACAACCCTAATCCTTACCCTGATTCTAATAACAACGACCAACAATACCAAAACAATAGTGGAGTCTTGTAAAGCGCTCATGTCTGGCAGACTGCCTCTCTTGGCACTCATGTTTTATTATTCCGGCTTAAACACAGCTTACATTGCAGCACCCTATGCATTTTAAAGAATTAATTCCTGCCAGGTGCCCATTTACATGTACCTCACCTGGGTGGAGTGTGGCAATTGTAGATTAATCTCTCACCTTAATCCTCATCGTAACACTAACCAATCTGCACCCTCCTAACCTGCAAATCCTGAGCAGAGACACAAGACTATGATAGCTATTAATCCCTTCATGTAGCTTTAACCCTTACTGTACTGGGCTATTTTGAGCACCCTCTGACTGGGGGGGGGGGGGGGGGGGGGGGGGGGGGGGGGGGGGGGGGGGGGGGGGGGGTGGGAGGCCCCCCCCCCCCCCCCTATGATCTCGGCCGTCGAATTTCGGATGAACACGAGAATTTGCATATTTGTAGATATTTACGTAAGGAACAAGATGGTATAATTAATTTTTTCCTAATATGCACATTTTTGTCGTTATAGCCTAATTAATTATGCAAAATGCTAATTTTATGCATTTTACAGAAAACTCTACATATTTGTCCATAGACTTGTGAAGAATCTTGAAAATGTATTGAATAAATGTTTCCTTCATCTCAAATTCATGAGGTTTCATTATTTTTATGATATTTGAAAATGCATAGGTTAATTTGCATAAATTATGAATACGCAAATTACGCATTCATGAATATCAAATCGGGAACTATATTTAGGAAACTAGAATCATTACAAAAATTGTCAGACTCCACTTTTTGAATGTTGAAACTCATTATTCATATGAAACTTCTTTTCTAACACAAAATAGTTATTTGATGTAATTAATAATGATAATTTATGCAAATTTGATGCGATTTTCAATTATCTATTTTCTTATGTATTTTATTGTTTTTATTTCTTATCATTATATCTATTGTTTTATTTATCATGTATTCTTTTGTTCTGGAATACATCAAGTTACTCTGAGAAACATATAAAAGCAATTCGATATCAATTCATATCTTCACATTTCTGCTTGTACATGAATATATGCAATTATAGCACTTTTTTTATGACATGCGCATACTAATTGTTATGTAACACCTTACAGGTATATCCGATTTTGACGAAAATGGTTTCAAAATGTACGCAAGACTTGAGGAAAAAAAAGTCATGAAACGACAATTCAAAATTCTAAGCGGTTGCGGCGCGATCTCCGAAAATGTTGAGGGGGGAGGGGGCCTCCCAGGACCCCCCTCCCCAGTACAGTAAGGGTTAATGTGTTCCTTCATTTATCTCTGCCACCCTACCTACCCCCCACACCCAATCAACATCCCCATCCCCTTCCTATCTCTTTCTCTTAATCTACCCTCCTCCTCACCTGCAAATCCTGAGCAGAGACACGAGACTATGATCGATATTAATCCCTTCATGTAATTATAATGTTTCATATCTTCTTTTGTGTTTGCTGATTCCACCTGGACCGCTGCCACACCGGCGAAGAGGAGAAAGATTGCCAGCCACTGCATTGGGTTGATCTTCTTCCCTATCATCACCACCATGAACACCGCCGTCGTGATGATCTTCAACTGATACGTTATCTGTAAAACAACAAAAACAACAAAAAGAGTAAAAATTATGGTTTTAGCGACAGAGACAGGTGTGATAGTGAGAACTAAAAAGAATAGTTTTTTTCCCCTCAACCAAGCCCCCCTTGAGTAAAAAAAAAAAAAAGAAGAGGATTCGGGGAAAAAATGGCATCTAACACCATTCCCCCCCCCCCCCTTTTGAGTAAGAAAAACTGGGAAATAAAGTAGGGAAGAATAGAGAAAATATTAAAGGGAAAAATCAGGTTTTTAAAAAAATCTGAAAAAACAGGAAACCGATTTAAATCAGGTTTTTATCAGGCCTGCAGAGATATGAAATGCATGCATTGAGCAAGTTAGCCTTGAAAACTAATTGAAACATCAAGATTACACCAGGAAAATCATATTTCATTGCTATTAAAAAACTCCCACTGAACAAACTGCTTTTCTTGTTTAATATCAATTAAATTGAACATCAAAGAGGGTGATTTAGATCTTAAAAACAACAAATGAATCTAGTTCAGTAACAAAATTATACAATGGAAAAAGTTAATGGATGCATGGTGCAAGGTGGCTTTGGAAAGCAATTTTAAACACCAAAATTGCCCCAAAGAAAGATCGCATTTTATATGGGTAAATTCATCATCATCTAGTGCCGTCCCTTCAGAATCGCTTTCTGTCATGTACCCTTGTTCTAACCTCTCCGTAGTTAAGACCAGTCCATTTCTTGACATCATCAAACCAAGTGGTTTGTTGTCTACCCCTTTCTTGTTTACTCTCTACCTTTGTAACTTACAAAGCTCTAAAAGAATAATCTCCTACATGTTTATCAATATGTATATTTAAAGCACTATTATGTAGGGTTCTTAAAGCCAAGGGAAAATGACATCGTTCAGGTTCTTAACCAGACTGATGTCACATCTCTGAGACCAATAAAATCTGTCATTGGGTACTTTCAACCACTTAGAATCCCCACTGCACTACATATAGCTACTTGCGCCCTCTATACAGCCAAGAATGCCTAAGTGGTACCTGTTGATCCCCAATGATGCCCTTTTTCTTATGTTAATTGAGAACTGATTTGATGAGATAACCACCTGTCAGTGACCATGCAGGGAGGTCTAATCCCTCCTGGCCAAACAAGTGTAGAGGGGCTTTAAATGACTCAGTCAACACATTTGACTAACCTGATACTTTGCAGCATCCAGATTAGAGAGGGCCACAAAGGCCAGGTTCACATCTCTCAGACCAATAAAATTTGTCTTTAGGTTAGTACCTAAACTGCTTAGAATCCCCTATAAGAACCAAAAATTGTATTTCTTCAAATGACCCAGTCATCACATTTGACTGGTTACCTGATACGTTGCAGCATCCAGGTTGGACAGGGCCACAAAGGCCAGGTTGTTCTGCAGTGCGTAGATGATGCTCGGGATGCACATCTTGAAGGTATCCGAAGGGTTGCAGAGGACGTTGTGGTAGACGTCCCTGATCATCCCTACCACGCTCTTATGCTCCTTGATGAGGAGGATGAGACTGATGGAGAGCTTGGAGCACTCAGACAGGAGGACGGTGGTGGTGCTGAAGTACATGGGTACGTCGTCCCTGGAGCGGGTGTAGCGGATCAGGAGGATGTACCCGGTGGCGTTGAGGGTCAGCACCAACAAGATGTACATCTTGAAGCCAAAACTGGCACCATCTGTTGGAATCAAAACATGACAGAACATATCAGATTATATATACATGGACAGTTGGGGGCCCGAAAGCTTACATACACATTATCACAACTTCACTCATTCCTGTCAGGAAGATAGACAAGTTAACCTCTCTGAGACATTAATATAAATGAGTGCAGTTGTGAAAATATATGTGAAATGTTTTTTTTTCCAGGTGCATGTAAACAAACACATCCCAATTTAAAAAAATCCTGAATCAACATTTCAATATAAAGACAAGATGGTCCAGGGGGGTGTTTCATAAAGCTGTGGGTAAAGTTACACATGACTTTACGAATGACTTGAATATGAAGAGCCAAACAGGATTTTCAAATCCTTTTAATTGCATAAGCTAGAGTTGAAATATGCAGATTTACATTAACCTTATCATTATTAACAAAACATTTTAATGTAAAGTGTAATTTTGGCTACTATTTAATTGAGATTATGGGAAATACAGTCACAGTTTGTTAAAATGTCAGGAAAAACTTTGGGCATCCCATTTGGCTCTTCATATTCATTCATTCATAAAGTCATGCGTAACTTTACGCACATCTTTATGAAACGCCCCTCTGGGCAGTTGCCCCCGGCAAAAATTGATGCATGGTAATTTCCTACACTGACCGCAAACCATACTGTACCCAAATTGCCACCCCAACCCTAACTCTATACTTTTTAAGAATTAAAGCCTTGAACAATTGTTGCCGGAGCAAAATATAGAATCACCGACAAGATGTACTCAATAGCAGTTGAAAGTGATAGTGACAGCCAGGCTGATATGATTAACAAAGAGGGGAAAAGGAACTGAAATGAAATCTGCTGTAAGCTACATGTATGTAATATTTCACACAAGGCTATGATGTGCGTTTTGCAAATAGAAAGAGAACTTGCCAATTTTTTTTTTTTTTTTGCACTTTGAGAAAGTAGTTATTCTCCCTTGCTTAATTTTTTGTTTTTCCTTCTGATATATATGACCGAGTATCTACAGTGAATGTAAAATTTATGACAAATATAACATTCCAAGTGACTGTGCATAGTGTTTTATAACTGAAGAGATCTGGTAGGGTATCAATAATCTCAAGGCACTTTGCCAAAGTCAGCAGAATAATATTGCTTGAAAATGATGCTTGCTATGCTCTTTAATGGTTATTATTACATTCTGTTTTTATGGACTGTAACTTAATGTCAGTTTATCTTGGATCAAAGTCTCTAAACAAAACATGCCATTAGAGTTCCTCAATCTCAAGTTTCTCAAATTTCAAAAGGCCTGTCTTCATCAGCTCGAGTTTGCCAAATAACTCGCTATTTTCGGACTCGGGATATTATCCCGAAGCTCAAAATTGCGTCTTCCCCAGATCAATACGCTCATCACAAACTAGCTCCAACAGCTGCAAATTAGCCCGCTATTTCCCAAATAGCGGGATATTTTTAAAACAAGTTCAAAATTTCTTGGGATATTTTCTCGACCAAATATACCGCTAAATACAACTGCTGGTTAATGAGGACGCAAATTAATTGGTTAATTTGCGATTGGGATAGTTAAAATAGCAGGTTATTGGGCAAACTCGAGCTTGTGAAGACAGTTGAAAGGATAGTTGGAAAGATTTATACAAATCAATAACAAAATCTTTACTTTTCAATGAGGAAAATCATAGCCGAGAAGATAACAGGGGAACACTTGTAACTTTTTCATTTAAAATACTAAAATATAGCAGTTGACAAATCTATTACATTTTATATAAGAAACCTTCACTCCAAAATGGCACTTAATAACTTATTTATGTAATTTGCGTTCTGGGAATTGTAGTACAAAGAATAATAGCAGGTGAATGAAATGCTTAAAGGTGAAATTCAAAGAAAATCACAAATATGTCAACTAATGTATCACTAGAAACTGGTAAGCTAACAGATGGCCATCCTACAAGTTTTAGGTCAACTACATATCGGGTGATTAATAAAAATACAAATACAACCACCTCCATAGCAGCTGGGATATACGAGAGATTCGCCGGAAAAATAACGATGTTTTAATGACGTCACTATATGGACCAATAATGCCCAAGCAGACGACATCCCATAAAGAATGAACATGATTGCAAAGCTATTATTTGTCAAATTATAATGAATTTAGTGTATATAAATGTAACGGCATGTCCAGGGGCATGTCAAACCATTCAAAAGGGGATATGACCCGATTCTGATAACGAAAATCTGTTGCTTGTAAAAAATACACAGGATAGGGGTTAATTAACAATCAAAGAAACCAGACTTTTAAATTGAAAACCCCCCGGAATGATATTAAGGACGGCATTTGTTCCCTCTTGAAACGCCGAACATACCCCGGTGTGTGCAGTTGAATATACAATGGCGTCTTATTTTATTTACAAGCAACATTACAGATTCCTTTATTTTTGTATCGCTGCATTTGTCATCAAAATAAAACCATGCAAGGGGTTTAGAGCGAGGCAATAGATTATACATTTAGCCTGACGGTAGTGAAGTAAGAGAAAGAACTCAAGAGAAGATGAAAACACAGGCACTGAAAATGTGTGAGATGTCATGGGACATCGTCTGCTTGTGCAAATCATGTCCATACTGTGATCTCACACATCTCAGCAGCGTTCGGAGAGCTCTTCAGGTGCTATGCCGGGGCTGTATTTAAGCGTTTTGTAATTTATAATAATTACTTTGAATGTTTCCAAGCATTGAATTTTGATAACCTTGTCGAATCAAAGTTTCAACTTTGCAATAATGAAAATAAAGTTAGTTTTTAAAATCAATGAATATCTACTTTAATCACCAAACACACCTGGGAAGAAAGCATCCATGACTTTGAATACATTTACTTGTTAAACGACGTCACATTAGAACGCCATGTTATCTGAGAAAGTGTACATTATTCTTGCTCTATGTCTCTCTCATACACTTTGGTGGGGAATCTTGTAGATTAATGGGCAAGAGTATAATGAATATCTCAGAATAAGTCAAGTTATTTCTTTGGGTAAGGTTTCCTTTAAATGTTCTGTATTACATTCAAGAGTTGGCTTCTAGTGCCTATATACTGTAGAACAAAGAAATGAGGTATCTTATCAACTGTTTGCAGTCAACTACACATCCGGTTACCAGCATATTTAAGTGTAAATAAATTGGCAATGAATATGAAGTATTTTCTGCTCGTATTTCAATTACCAGATCATCGCTGATACTAGCTATTGAATTCTTTTTTTCTATGCTTTTAATGATTTGTGATACTTTGTATGAAGTGCAGTACATTAGATGCACTATATAAATGGACATATCATTGTTTATTATCGACATATATTTATATTTTCATGTTTGTATCTGATCATAATTGTTTTTAAACTTGTGCAATGTAGCAGATTGGGCCTTATCTAATAAAGTTGTCTACCACCACCACCACTGCCACCACCACCACCATCAACCACCACATCACCATTACTTGGATTGTTTTATCAGGGACTAACATCAGGGGTGATAGAGAGCACTAAAAAAAAAATAGGTTTTTTGTTTTCTCCTCAACCACGCCCCCCTTGAGTAAAAAAAAAGAGAAGAGGATTCGCGGGGAAGAAATGGCATTTAACAACATTCCCCCCTTTCGAGTAAGAAAATTGGGAAAAATAGGGCAAAATAGGGAAGATTAGAGAAAATAATGGGGAAACGGGGAAATCGGTAAAATCAGGAGAAAAGAGGGAAGAAGAAAAAAAATCTGGTTAAAAAAAAAAAAAAAAAAAAAAAAAAAAAAAAAATTAATCGGGAAGAAGAAAAAAAAATCAGGAAAAAATCGGGAAAAATAAAAAAAAATAATCGGGAAACCGATTTAAATCAGGTTTTTATCAGGCCTGTAACATGCATCTTGTGCTAAACAAATTCTACTTCCACTTTCATGCAAACGTAATGGGCTAGCAAGCATCACTTCACTTCACTTCAAGTTTGTTTACAAAAGAAATCTGCAGAACTTTGTCTCACAGATTGAGTGCATTTCATGATCCTAGTCGAAACCAATAATTTTCTTCTGAAACCAGAATCTCTCCTGAATATCAAGAGTGGAAGAAATAAGTAAAAAATATAATGCCCTGAAATAATTAAATCACAACAGAGTTTCTGTATTTCTCTCAAGCTTCTTCCTGCAACATTGGGCATCGTTGACAATGCATTAGTTTTTTTTTACAACAAGCAACTAAGGAGTGATTGAAATGACTCTAAATAAAAATGTTAACATGGTAAGCTTCATATATACAGTGTATGCATGTACATTACATAAAGTAAACAACAAGATGTACAGACAACCAATATTGTTATCTTTGCAATGAAAATTACATTAAAGTGTACCAAGCACCATAAGACGTTTTGCTCTGTATGTTTAGGGGTTTCTATGTTGCTATACTATATTCAAAATAATTGCTTCAAATGTGACCTCAGTCTACAAAGGCAACTTGTGAGTACACTGGTGGATGATATGGCATATATATATTCAGTACTGAATGAACACCATAAAACAACTACCAACAACAACAAGAACCACCGGTGAAGGAACCCGTAAGGACTTGCATAGCATAGGACTAAAACGTCACTCAAGTCCGACTAGGGTCCCATGCATAGGGTCTTGTGTCATGTTTTATTATCTTCATACTCTTACACTACAGGCATGACTAGCTGGGTAAAGTCCGCTTTGGTTGATTGGATACATTCTAGCTGTATTTTTGTCCACTTGATTGAGTTGATTCATACCCTTTAATTACATTTATAACCTTGACCTCTGCGACAATCATGTCTGGTGTTTGTCTGTGTCTGTGCAGTTTATATCCCTTATTCCTTAATTCCTCACATGAGATCAAATCTCCCACAGACATTGGCCATAACAGGAAGCTGACAGCCGCATGCAAACTAGCTGCAGTAAGGGGGCAGCAGAATATTATGTTTTGTAAAGAGAGGTCATAGATTAGCAGTCATGATTGAATTTCCC